ACAAGAGCCTAGTAGTCAATTAGGCAGTCAAGCACTTAAGATTAAGAAATTTGAGGCAAACTACTGCTACCAGTACCACTGGTAAATGCTCAAGGAAAAAGTAAATCAAATGGCCAACCAAAGCCACTAAGAAATACAAACAGCACCAGACAATACTCCAAGAGCCTAAACAACCGACAGTTATATCAGACTAGGCAAATCAGCTGCAGGACATAACCCAACCCACTGGCTCCAGTAACATAGATGCAATCCAAACAAATTTACTCAATGAAATCGCAATCATCAAAATCCCATCAACATCAAGAAATTGGAATCGGGGACCAGAAAATTAATAAAGAAAAACCTGGCACCAGGGAGGTTGGACTGTTGGCGTGCGGCGGTGGTCGAAAGGGTGGCAAGCTGGTGGTGCTAGCGTGGTGGTGGCAGGCGAGGAGGATCGACGCGGCGTGCTGGTTGTGGGCTCGTGGGCTTCGGCTGGAGAAAGAGTTCGACGAGGAGGCGGAGCTTGGGCAGGCGGCTGGTGGCGTCGTATGGAGAGAGGCGCAGCGAGCCTTGGTCGCGAGCTGGTGATGGAGTGATTGGGTAGGAGGAGCTGCGCGCAGGTGAAGATTCGGCCGTGGGCTGTGGGTGAAGTGGAGAGAGAGCAGAAGAAGCTTGGTGGCAACCTTGGTCTCTGTCGGCAGCTGTGGTGGCGCGCGAAGAGCTAGTGGCACACAAGGTGAAGCTGGAGCTGGAGGGAGGCGTGAGGTGAGGCTGAGCTAATGGTGTGGGGGGGGAAGCGATGAGCTGGTGGTGGCGCGCGATGCTGCCGCGCGAGAGAAGTGGCCGCGTGCGGGCGGCGATGGCGACTGGGCAGTGTGGAGAGGGCTGCACGCGGAACTTGGCGAGCTCGTGAGGTGGTGGCTAAGGTGGAGCTGACTAGAGAAAGGAGCGGCGTGGGCTGGACAGTGGCGCTCGAGGAGGTGGACGGCGCTGCTGCGGTGAGATCGAGCTGGTGGTGGCGCAATCTGGCGTGCGGCGGTGGAGCTTCGTGCGCAGAGCAGCTGGGTTGCGCGCGAGGTAGAGCTCGGGTGGAGGTGGGCTACTCGCGCGGTGAGGGAGCGAGCTTCGGAAGAAGAGCGGCGGCGGCGCGCAACAGGAGGCAACAATCGCGGCGTCGGCATGCGCAGAGAGAAGGAGGGCAGCGGGGAAAGAAAGAAAGAAGAAAAAAAAGAAGAAAAAAAAGAAAGAAAGAAAGAAAGAAAGAAAATAAGAAGAAAGAAAGAAAAGGAAGAAAAAAAAAGAAAGAAAAGAAAAGAAGGAAAAAGAAAGAGATTTTTTTTCTTTTGGAAATTTAAGCTACAGTGAAAAGGAAAAATTTTTTTTTAGTTTTTTTTAAAATTTTAAATTAAATTTTTTTTCCTATAACAATTGCAAAACTCAACCTTCAGCTCTCTGACGAAGGCACGGAATGAGAACGGGGGAGCTCTCTGACCTTGAGCTCTTCATGGGTCATGACGCGGGCACGTCATGAGGGCAGGAATCCCTTCTGACGATTCTGACCGTGAGCTTTCCAGACGTCATGACGCGGGCGCGTCATGACAGAAAAACACCTACAAATCATCAAAAACGAAAATTGAAACCATAAATCAGTCAAATCCAAGGAAAAACATATTTAAACTAACAAATAAAATCAAAACAAACAATTAAAAGGGATAATTGGGTTGCCTCCCAATGAGCGCCTTTCTTTAATGTCTTTGGCTAGACATTATCATGTTTTGCTCATGGAGGATAAAATCTTGTGGCTCGCTTCAATGCTTCATCTTCAATGTGATCCTGGTAACCCTCATAGATGGAGTAATCTTTGAACACACGAGTTACGGTCTTCCATGGACTAGTTGATGGCGCCAAATAATCAAGCAGTGATCTCAATTTTTCATGAACTCCTCCATCAAGAGCACTCAACGGTTCAAGATATTTGACCATAACTACTCTTAACTTATTTCTGCCATGAGACTCAAAAACTTCCGGTATAGCAAAATCAATCTCATTAACAGAAATCATGGAGTAAGAGTTAAGAAAATGCGGGTTAGGGAATGGAGGTAGTGTCACCATATTTGATGATTTTTCACTGGATTCTTTCACTTGAATGGGTTGCGGTTGGGGTTCCATTTCTTCCTTTCCGGCTTCTTTTTCAACTGCATCTGTAGATTTCCCCGGCAACGGCGCCAAAAATTGACAGGATGTCAGCCTGCGCAATAATAAAATTAAACATAATTGCCAGTTAAAATGACCAAACCCAATTCCAAGTACTGGAGCAGAAACTCTAGGTGTGCAATGGGTTACTTGATTCACCCTGTTCCCGAAGAGTTTGCTTGATCCGATATACTCGAATGGAATGGTTATTTCTTTTCACAAATAATTATGAATTTGTAGAAAGGGCAAGTAGGGTCGAATCCACAGGGACTGGGAGTAACTATTTCTTTTTAAATTCACAGTGACAAGGGGGTGTTTTTATTTCAGGGGTGACAATTTAAACAATTCAACTAAAAATAAAAATAAAATAGCCAACTCGAAATTAAATAACAATTTACTAAAATCAAAGGATCTAACCAAAGAATAACTTCAGCAATGGTTCACCTAATTAATCATTGAAACAAAGGCAATTCCAATTATTCACTAATAAATAGGTTATAACTGCCAGACAAGCGATGGCAGTCAACCCCTCCTTATTGTGTCGGTGATCAAGGTACGCCTGTTAATCACTTCTCTAATTGGAAAACAATCCTAGGTACGCCCGTAAGATTTAATTCTCCAATTGCCTTACGTATTAGAGGAGCCCTATTCTAACCAAATAACGCACTACCAGGGTTATTTCAGATTAGCTCGCGTATTCCCCTGACACGAATCTAATCGTGCAAGTTGTCACTATTTCAGGACAATTAAACAATTACGGATTTAACGTCCCAATTGACAATAGATTATCAAATTAACTAATTATCCGGATCCAAGACAATCAATTAATTAAACAATCATAAGCACTGTAACCAGGAAATATGCGAGTACCAATAAATAAAAGAAAAAGATAAAATTAAATCGATCTCACAATTTTAGGCGACCCAAGGCATCCGTTATCCCTTGACTAGGGTGAGGAAATTAGTTCATAGTTGATGAACAAAATCCACAAGAAATTGAAGCAAAAGCTGTGGCCATCAATTCGGAAGTTGGGCGAATTCAATTCGTCTATTCAATAAAGAAAGAAAGCTACAAAAGGTAATTCATAGTTGTCCTTCGGTCTGGACATCCGCAGGAAGCAAACCACTAAAAGACGAAAAAGGAAAAGTCAAAAGCTTTCCAATCCTTTTCTCATCACATTCACGGAGAAAACCAATAGGGAAGAAAGGCATACAAAGGAAAAGTCAAAAAGAAAACAAGCCTAAGCTACTGAACGGAAAGTTCCCTTTCAATTTCTATCTAAATCCTATTCTAATGCTCTCCTTGCGCGGCGGTCCCTTTGCGGAGAGGACGAAGCCTCTGGAGGAAGAAGAAGCAGAGCCCCCCTGCGGCGCTCCAGCCCTCCAGTAAAAATAGAAGCCTCTGCCCTGCTCTCTTCTTTTGAAATTACCAAAACGGGCAAAAATCTTCCTTTGCCAATAATGCCCCTGAGATAAGCTCTGTTATTTGGGGTCTTTTCTTGTTAAATTGGCACTTGTTATCATATTTTCGTTCTACTCCCTGAAATAAATGCAAAGTATCAAAAGTGAATAGAATCTAGCAATTAATTCACATTAAGTCAGATAATAAGGGAAATTAATAATAAAATAAATAATAAAATTGTAACCTATCAATTTTATAAAAAGATTAATCGACAGACTGTTAAGGAAGACTACATTAGTACTTATACAATTGAAAAAAGGAAGCTGAAATCATTATTGAAAGGTGCTGGTAGGAATAATATTACCACATATTTGTGGAAATCTGGTCAAAAAATTCAATATATGGTTGTGACTGGTCATTTTGCTGATTCTTATTGGGTGCTACAAAAACGTGTGTTAAATTTTTGCAATGTTCCTCCTCGTCATACTAGAGTTATTATGGCTAATGCTCTAATTAAGTGCTTTATTGATTAGGGGATTGAGAATAAGGTTTCTAGCATAACTGTAGATAATGCTTCATATAATGATGTGCGCATTAGGAGAGAGAGGATTTTTCTCTAAGTAAGAGATTAAGTATTGGAGGAAAAATTTTTCATGTTAGGCATTGAACACATATATTTAATCTCTTAGTGCAAGATAGTCTTGGTCAACTTGGTGATGTGATTGATGTTGTTAGAGAGGGGATAAAGTACTTGAACAATTCTCAATCTAGGCTTCTTGAATTTGCCAAAATTAAAAAACAGCTCCAGTTGCCCTCTAGAAAGCTAATTTTAGACTGTCCAACAAGATGCAATAGCACCTATTTGATGTTGGGTTCGGGTTTAGAGTTCAAGGATGTCTTTCCAAGATATGCAGACATTGACCCCGGATTTCACTATGTTCCTACTGATTCTGAGTGGATGAAAGTGGAAGAAGCGTGCAAATTTTTAGAAATATTTCATGAATCACTAACATGATTTTTGGATTCGAGTATCCAATAGTTAACATTTTTCTTGTGGAGCTCTATACGATTAAAGAGTTTTTAAATGAAAAGCTCTTGACCCTTATGAGCATATTCGGGCTATGGCTAGAAGTATGTCTACTAAATTTGATAAGTATTTGGGAAAAAGTAATGTACTGCTATCTTTGGGTGCAATTTTGGATCCAAGATACAAAATGGTTCTTGTTAATCATTCTTTTTTGGTGATTTATGGTGAGAATGCAGCTCCTCGATTCATGGCTGAGATTAGAGACATTCTTTTTGAACTTCACAATGAATATATTGATTGTCACATTATTGTTTCCCATTTTGAACAACAATAGAGGTAGGCTGTAAAAAGGAGACAAAATGAAGGTTCTAGTTCTTCTAGTCAGAAAGCTAGTAAAATGACTGGACCCACCATTTTAACTGGTAAAGAAAAGTTTCACATGCATCTGAGTGAAATTGACAAGGCTCCACCAGAAAAATCAAATTTAAATGTTTATTTAGAAGAAGGTAGGTATGCTTGTAATGCAAATGAGAATCTGGATGTTTTGGCTTGGTGGAAAGGGGAAAGATTGAGATTTCCTATCTTATCGAGAATGGCAGCCGATATACTCTCCGTTCCTATTACAATTGTGGCTTCAGAATCTACTTTCAATGCTGGAGGTAGAGTAATTGATGATCGACGAGCTTCTATGTCAATTGAGACGGTGCAAATATTGCTTTGCGGCAACGATTGGATCCGCAATCTTCATGGCCTAAAGAATAAGTCTCGCGTAAGTAATTGATTGGATGTTTTTGTTGTTGTTAAAAGTTTCATTAGATCTAATTTTCAAGAACTTTATAACTTTCATACTTTTGTTTTGTAGGAATCACTTGATGTAGCCGAATCAATCACATTTGAGGAAGTTGAACTTCTTGAGTCATTCACAATCTGATTTGGTGGCAGTTAATGTTGATTGGTGCAAGCTGATTTCATTCACATGCTGATTTCCTAAGCTGATTTCGTTCAAAAGCTGCATCATTCACAAGTTGTTTTCGCTCAAGAAAGTTGTTTTTAACTCTTGGACAATTGAAGTTAAACATGTTGGTCAACTTGGTTTAGAGTTTGGACATTTTAGAATCTGTTTAAAACTACTTGATGGCTGATGTTTAATTGTTTGGACTACTTGAATTGTGAACTGCTTGAATTGTGGTTTTTGTATCTATTTCAACCGCAGATTTAGTTGTGAATTTGCCTGAAAATTTTGTTAACAGATTAGACAATAATGGTTGCTAATGTCTAGGTGTTCGAGCTCGAGTCTCGAGCTCATTAGACTCAACTTGATTTTGAACTCGAGTTCCAACTTGAGTTTGAATTTTCAGTCAAGTTTGACAAGTCAATCTCGAGCAGCTTTTGAAGCTCGAACTACTAATCGAGCGAGCTCGAGCTAACTCGATCGCAGGTTCGAGTTGAGCTCGGTTATCATGTGCTCGAGCTTGACTCGGCTCAATTAACAACTCTAAATTAAATGAAAGAATTGCATATTATCAAGAAAGGTAGATACATGTCATTTTGTATGATTATAATCCGGTTACTTGCCATGATAGATACAAGATCTTAAGAGATGAAGAACATGAGAAATATTTAATAACTAATAAATATGTAGAACTCAATAAAGATTTTACTGCTTATTATAGAGAAGCTCATTTAAATCTACCATGAATTCTTACGAAATAATAACATACTGCCAAGAATGTCAAAATTTTATTAGCCAAGACCTATCAGCTAAATCTAAAATAAATAAGCTAAGATGACTTATTATTAAATATTCCTCTGAAGAAATAATATTAGAAGCATCAAATATATTTTTAGATATTGAAAAAGAAACTTAGAAAAAATTGTTTCAAATCGAAATTTACATTTAGTAAGAACGCATACATGAATTTGGATAACTATAAAATAATAGAACCTGGAAATTTAAAAATAGAGAAAGACCTATTTGAAATACAAAAAATGATGTTATATATATATATATAAAGATTTGAAGAAAGAAATTCAAATATTTAAAGAAAAACTAGAAAAAATTATTGAAAAAAAGAAATACAACAGTTTGTCAATGTTATTTTTGTAAAGAAAAAGGACACTTAACAAATCAATGTCCTAAAAAATTTAATAAAAAGAGATTTGAAGTGGATGATGATATTGAAAACTTGATTAATAATAATGAATTAATAGAAATAAATAGATTTGCAAAAATAGAAGAAGTTTCTTCTGATGAAAATATATTTATCTGTACAGATACAGAATATGAAATAAGCAGTGAAGATTAGTGAAATAGAAGAAGAGAAAAATAATTCTTCTAAAATAATAGCTATTCATTTAGAAAAATTAGGTGAATATAGTCAAAAAGCACTTATAGATAGAAAAATACTGGCAAAAATTCAAAAAAGTAATTTTTCAATAAACTCTTATAGCGGATTTAATGTACCTACATTAGAAATGATAAAATTTTATCTAAGAAAACACCAAATGTTCTATGGAATAAATCTCAAAGAAAAATCACTAGAATATAGTCTTACTACAAATAAAATAATGATCCCATTAATATCTAAAAAAGATATTTATAGCAAATTAGAGAAAATGCCAGAAAAAATAAGAGAATCAATAGGATGGATTCATATAGATTCTATCCAAATGATTATTAGATCTACATTTAGAGAAGGACTAAATACATCTACAGATCTTACTATAGCTGATAATCGAATAAAAAATAGAGAAGAAGCAACTTTTCGTATCCTTCAAGGAAATCTTAAATATCAAAAACTAATTTTTAATACACATCCAAAAATTTCTTATAATATACAAGATAAAGATTTTGATAAAACACCTTCCTTAATACAAGATTTCTTTTTCAATGGACATAGACCATATTCTATTACATATATGATTTTTTATGCTTTATCAAATACTCATCATACTGAACACTTTCCAAATATTGAATTCATCGGTCTTCCTAAATTATTTTTCGAAGTAGGAAAAATATATCCTCCAAAAATTACTAATATAGAATTAGATAAGTAATTCAATTTAGATATAAGTCAAAAACCCCTATTAGATAAGCCAAATATATTGTTACCCAGATTATCATATATAGGAAATATGGTTAGAAGTAATTCTCATCGTTTTCCAAATATGAATACTAATCAAAAAATAACGACAAATTATAGAATAGAAGCTAGCCATTGGAATGAAAAATATATGACAAACTAAAATATTTTACTAGATACAGGGGTAAATGAAAATTATATATCTCACAGATTGGTTGAGCACTTATCCATTTTTCAATTACAAGATCCTTATCAGCACACAAATTTTAATGGAGAAACTCATGAAATAAAGGAGACTGTGGAAACAGAAATTGAATTAACTGATAATCGAATTCCTATTCTCCCCATTCTTCGCCTGCATTTATGGTAAGAATCATGCTGAAATAGTAAGAAATAAACTTAGAATGGTTATTAATTATAAACAATTAAATAGTGAAACCATATTTGATGGATACTTTTTACCACATAAGGAAACTCTCATAAATATGAGTAAAAGAAAGAAAATATATTCTAAATTCGATTGTAAAAGTGGTTTTGGTAAATAAAAATGCATCTTGATAGTATTAAATACACACCATTTAATACTCCTCAAGAATAATATGAATGGCTAATAATGCCGTTTGGATTAAAAAATGCCCCCTCAAATATATCAAAGAAAATGGATAAAAATTCTTCAAAGATTATCCTTTCTTATATGTACATGTTGATGATATCTTAATAGCCTCAAATTCAATAGAAGAACATTTAGAACATTTAAATGCATTCTCTGATTTATGTCTAAAACATGGAATTGGATTATCAGAAAAGAAAGCAAAAACAAGATTAAAAGAAATTGAATTTCTAGGATTAGAAATAAATGGTGAAGGAATAAAAATGCAACCACGTATTTTAGAAAAAAAACAAGCATTTCCTGATAAATTAGAAGATAAAAAACAATTGCCAAGATTTTTAGGAACATTAAATTATGCAACTAATTTTATCTGCAACTTAGCAAAAACAAGAAAAGAATTACAACAATTGCTAAAGAAGAATAATAAATATGAATTCTCTAAAAATCATATAATTCTAGTAAAGAAAATAAAAGAACAATGTAAAAATTTATCATTTTAACTTTACCATCTGATGAAAATAATATTATATTAGAAACAGATGCTTCCGAAGAAGTTTGGAATGCAGTTTTAAAAATAGAAAATAATCTATTATGTAGATATGCATTTGGAATATTTTCTAATACAGAAAAAAGATATCAAATAAATGAAAAAGAATTACTTGCAGTAATAAGAGGATGTCATAAATTTTACTACTTTTTATTACCCAAGAAATTTAAATTACAAACGGATAATTCTCAAATAAGAGCATTTATTAAAAATAATATTAAATCACTGCCTCAAAATAAAAGATTAATTAGATAGAAAATGGCATTATCTGAGTTCATGATTGATATTGAACTAATAAAATCTGACGAAAATTGTCTTGCAGGTTTTCTAACTAGAGATGGAAGACCAAATGAATAAGCAAACTATCCTCTTGAATAAAGTCTTGGAATTATCAGAGAAAATTTCTCAATTGCAGACGTCATGCAATGACGTAATGGATATTATGAATTATCAAGATATAAATAAAGATGTTTCTGAACTTCTTATCAAGCATGCCGAAAAATGACAAAATACAGTTAGCCTTACGATAAGGTTGAAAATTTATTATATGACCCATTCAAAAGGGATGAAATAGAAAATCTTCCCCCTTCATCGAGACAAGAAGATTGTCAACAGATTGAGAGATCTGGAAAAAATTCTCTTGATGATGGGATATCCTTGAAACCGGATTTTAGCCTGAAACAGACATTTCAAAGGATACCCATAATGGATAATATAATTAATGAGTACCCGCTCGTCACTGAGTACAATCCTCTCATAAGAGAATTATATGCCTTACAAAATACAGAAACATATTATATGGATTTCATAAGGATCTATCCTCGAATAAATTATGTGTAGGGATGTGATTGCAATTTCAAAAATGCACAATTTTGGAGTAATCAATGCTAATCAATGCTATCTATATGACTACTCCTACTTTTGCTGAAATTTCCAAACTCCCTCAGTGGATTCAAGAAGGAGTTAGGCACATACGGTCCCAAAGACAGTTTAATGCTCAAGATTATTTCAGTTGGACCAGATTTTGAAGATTCTCATAGATATGATGCCTTTCATCATATCAAAGTTATGAAATTTGATGAGTTGGAAATAAAGGTCTACCCTCAACAGAAGGAATATTAATATTTTTCTAAAGAAAAATACATTATCGAAGAGCTCTTGGGATAAGGATCGTTTTTGCAAAATCTAGAAAATACACCCAAGCAAGGATTTCGTACATATGGAGGAAATGGAGCATTTTCTTCTATAATGACTACATATGCGGTGAAGACTCCAGAAGCAGCAATGAATTATTTGAATTGGAAAATACGCTTACTAGAAAGCAGCAGAATAAAATCCGGCAACAAAGCTAACAAGATTTTGTGCAGGATGAGAAAACATAAAAATAACACGTGTCCAACTTGTACTAAAAAGGAAGATAAGGACACGGTATCAAGCAATTAAAGTATGGAATAAGACGTAAGCACTTAGTCACCCCCAAGATCCAAAATATGTTGTTCAAATCCGCGAGATTGAAACCAGAACAAGTCCGTTGAAAAATCAATTCAAGTCCAATATTGAAATCTGCCAAACACCTATATAAATAGGTAGGCGCCATATGAAGAAGGCAATTGGAGAAGGAATTGAGGGAATCAAGAGTTCAACTCTCCGATTGTCTTGAAAATTTTCTCTCATGTATGGTAAATAGAGAGAGAGAGAGAGAGAGTGTGTGTGTGTGTGTGTTAGGCCAATGTCTTGTACTAAACTTTCTTCATTAATAAAAGAAGCAAGTTTCTTCACAACTTTCATTATTTACATCTGAGTACACTTAGAGGTAGGAAACAAAACTAAGCTATACTGCAAAATTCTGAAGCGGCCCTTAAAGGAAGTCACCTTAGTGGTTGGAGGTTGCAATGCCCAAGTAAGAAATCCTCGGGTAGATAGCCGGAGTTTTGTTGGTCAAACATCAGATTTAAGGTATGGAAGTGTGATGGACCCATTTCTTTTGTTGATAAGAAATTATTAGCCTTGATATGGCATGCACTCTATTCTCTTGCAAAAAAAATTTATAGAAAATATGTCAAATCTGTTTAGTACCTTATCAATAAATATTACACATCTAAAATACACTTTAGAAATAAAAATATCTTTTACATCAAGAATGATAAATATGAATATCTTGTTAGCGAACCCAAACTTAAACTTGGACTTAAATTTGGGCACCGTTACTTTGGAGGTGATCTTATACGGTCTTTAACAAATAATTAGCCACTTAAGCCTCTTTTTTTTGGGGACTACACATGACAAAATGAGGAGTGAATCAGTTGCTTAGTATCTAAAATTTTCCCTCCATATAATTAGTTCAACCTGATTTAAGACTAAATTTTTTTACTATAGGAATGTTCGTGATTCAACAATGAAACACCATAGAAACTTATTTTGGGAGATTGTCCTAGAAGATAAAAAATGAGCAACCACCAATCAGAAAGTCGTACTCACATATCCAAATCGATTCAGTCTACTTAATTCACCAGCTTGGTATATTTCATCCGTTTTCACATTATAGAAAGAACAATAATGCATGGCATTATCCATCATAAATTGCTCATATAACAGCAAGATATTCATGGTGTGGACCTCAAATGACTCATCATGTCTACTGGCTACATTTCAAACATATCTTATGGCCAGAATGTTCATCTGATAAACTTAACGAGTTTATTCATGGTACCATACCATTCAATTAAAAAAGTTTCCGCCTTTTACCTTTTATAGATGTCAAGGAATATAGCTGATAACGCACTTTTGGCGGCAATCTTCCTTCACCCAATTAAAGATTTTCGGAGCTTAAAGTTCAGCTCCTAAAGCTCTTCTCCAAGGCTCACCAACCAACAGAGAAATTACTTTTAGTAAAGTTGTTAAATTTTGGCACCAGGTTTTGATGGTATCTTGGTAAGATTGGAAGATTATATTGTGCTTCTAAGATAATGTTTAAAAAAGCTATTTTAGTGAGGGCATTATGGTCAATTTCCCCCTGATGATATGGTTTGTTTGGATTGTAAGTTATTTGAAATATTTTTACTGTAACACTTTTTGTGATGTGATGTATATGAGATAAAAAGGTAATTGGGAAGATAAAAATGTATATTGGAAATTGTAATGATGATGTAAACAAATATATTTGGGAAAATAATCAGCTGTCCAAACAAACCCAAATAGGTCCCATCAACATCAGAAGGGAGCTCATTGTATTATTGGATATAACAAGGGTGCTAGTGAAATTATGAAAACCCTCAAGGGAGGTTTTTGAAATTAACCCTAAAATATTCATTCCACGCCAGGCGTGGTGTTCCCCCCTAGTTCCTATAAATAGGGCTGCAACTCCATGCACTTATCACTCTATAGCAATAATTTAGCACATTACTTACATTTTGAGTGAGCTTGTGATCAAATGGCATCTTCAAAAAATTTGCTCTTTCTTTTTGGTGTTCTCTTTGCACTTGTGCTCCTCATTTCCTTTGATGCAACAGCTGCAGGTATCTAGCCCCCTTTTTTTTATTTTCTTCCTTTTTTGTTTTTTTTGGCTGCACCTAAATACTCAAATGAATGGAGATTAGGAGACTCATTATTGGGATGTGAATTTTTGTGGAAGGCTATTTGTATATTATCAAGCAAGTCATATTAATGTGCTATTATCTTTTTCATTGTTTAGCAAAAGTAAATTTTGGTTGCTTCTATCAATGGTTAGTGGCACATCTGATTTTTCATGCATCCTTATAGTTTTGCTGTAAGGATACACGTTCCATAGTGTCACACTAAAGGTTAAACTAACGTCGAAAACCAAATTAAATGCTTCTAATTATAATTTATTGAATAGACTATTAAAGCAAAATAATTCATATCCAAGTCGCACTATCTTATATGCCTAGACTGTTTTGTTTAATCCATGGTATTCTTTTCTTTGCGTACATCTAGCAAATTTTCAGCCTAACCGGTCACCTAACGTTCGCAGCTTAAGATAAAGCTCCAAATATTTATGTCTCCATGTGTCTTGACACAGATCAGAAGAGCGTGAAATCCACTGGCGTCCACGATGCCAGTTCAGGTGAGGTTCATCAGGATAGCATAAGCGAAGATCGTTGCAGACATCGTTGCTGCCGCTGGCACCATGGACGCTGCCAAAGATGCTGTCGAACTGCTGAGGAGACCCCTGAAGCTACATCTGGAGATGAGGATACCGTAACCGCAGATCGTTGCAGACATCGTTGCTGCCGCTGGCACCTCCATGGACGCTGCCAAAAATGCTGTCGAACTGCTGAGGAGACCCCTGAAGCTACATCCGTAGACCCCTGAAGCTACATTCCGTAGATGAGGTCGAAAATTAATGCTAAATAAATAAGGGTGTGACACAGGATCCGTGACACCTATATTATTACCTTAGTATGCTATGGTTGATTTCCTATATGTGTAAAAGACTTGTGCGGCTTCTCTTTGAATTGGTGTAGAATCAACAGGGGAAGCATGCAATGAGTACTCAGTTCGAGTGCTCTTCTTGTGTTGTTGTCATGTTGAATAAATAAATCTACGTGATCATCTACTACAATTGATGATCTCTATCTCAGTTACATCAGAAACTTCTGTACCTTGTAAACTCTGGGATTTCAAATCCCCAACCTTTTATCCTGGGTGGACGGTGGAGGTGGTGACTTAATCAGTCAAGATAATGGAAGAAGTTGTGTTCAAATTTCCAAGGAGGAAGCACGGTTTAAAGCGGCGATTCCAGTCATAGTCTATGACGCATACTTTAAAGCATCTAGTATTCTAGAAATTGTAAAAAAAAATTATTAAAAAACTATGCTAAATAAAAATAACAATAAAAATAAGTAAAAGAAAATCACTAGAATGTACTATTTTTACCAATATAAAAGTGGTAAATATATATAATCACTCTATATAATGGCATCACAAACAAAATCAACATAGCTAAAGAGCAAATATGGCATCACAAGGACCAAAGAGCAAATATTTAGTTTCATAAAGGACAAGATCAGAAAGAAAATGGACCACTGGAAGACAAAATTGCTCAGCCAAGCTAGGAAAGAAACCTTGATGAAAGCAGTGACATTGGCTACTCCTACGTATGCTATGTCCTGTTATAAACTCCCTAGGAAGCTCTGCAAGGACATTAGCACCATGATGGCAAGATGTTGGTGGGGACAAAAAGAAATGAAGGACAAGCAACATTGGATAGCATGGGATAAATTCACCAGGAGCAAGGCAGAAGGTGGGATGGGATTCAAGGATATTCAAATGTTCAATAAAGCTTTGCTGGCAAAACAGGTATGGAGAATAATGACACAACCAAATCTGTTGGTAAGTAAAGTATTGAAGGAGAAATACTTCCCAGGAGGGTCTGTGCTAGAAGGAAAAGTGCCAAAGAATGCATCCTGGATTTGGCAAAGTCTTATGAGTGCCAGAGAGGTGATCAAGGATGGCTGTCAAAAGAAAGTGGGAAACGGAAAAGGCACTAACATCTGGGATGATAAATGGATTAACAATGGTAGAGATGGAAGGATAAGGACACAGAAACCAGAGGGCAGTGAATTGAAAAAAGTCTCACAACTCATGGCCCAACACAGGTGGAACAGAAATCTGATTTACAAGGTGTTTCACAAGGAAGATGCAGAACACATTTTGAGCATTCCAATAAGTTGGTCTGACCAGGAAGATAGCATGATATGGAAGCACAACAACAATGGTCAATACACAGTGGCAAATGGATACAAAATCCTGCAACAAAAGGAAATGGACAAAAAGGAAAAACGAAGCAGAGAGGAAGGATGCAGCTATCAACAAACAAACAAACAAGGAACTGTGGGAAGCTCTATGGAAGATGCCTATCAAACACAAAATGAAAATATTTGTGTGGAAATGCATCAACAATGGATTACCAGTCAAGGCTCAGATTTTCAACAGAACAAAAAAAGGAGAACCAGTATGCTGTGGGTGTGGAGAGAGTATGGAGACCATCGAACATGTACTACTGCAGTGCAAGAAAGCAAAAGAAATATGGAAATTTGCACTGGTACAGTGGGATGGACTTCAAGACCAAACTGGATGCTTCAAACAGTGGTGGAATATGATGATGAATGCAAGAGCTAGGAACGAAGGGGATGATCGCATAGCCTTAACAGTTAATGTGCTATGGCAGATTTGGAAAGCGAGAAATGCAAGAGTTTTCAACTCATTGCAAAAGGAGCCTTTTAAAGTAAGTGAAAAGGCAACTGCAGAATGGAAGGAGTACCTGGATGCAGTTCAACACAATCAGAGGAGGAGCACAGCAGAAACAAGAAGGCAACAGGAAAGTGGACAAGGGGAACAAGCAGACACGAAGGCGGTAACTCTGAAGCTTGCAATCCAACATCAGAAAGGAAATAGTTCCTTTGGCATTGGCATCACAGCCTTGAATGCTGCAAACCAAGGAATAGCAGCCTGGTCACTAAGAGAGAGATCATCAGGGAACAAAGATCAAGACCTGGCAGAGGCAGTGAGATTATGCATGGTCAAGGCAGCAAGGAAAGAATGGAGGAAAATCAACATAAGGTTTGAAAATAAAAACATGATGGCACAGTTCCAAAGAGGGAAAGCATGGAATATAGCGTTAGATGTCATTTTAGAGGATGTCAAGCAAATGTCATTATGGTTTCGAATGTGCTCTTTTGGAAGATTGAATGAAGACAATGATAGCTTATGCTATAGCTTGAGCAAAATTGCTCTGTTGAATTTTTGTGATTTGGAGTGGAATTATGCCACTTTGTAGTGCTAAATGCACTCTTGTAAAGATAGGAGCCTTTGCTCCAAAAGTGTAAAACTTTCTCAAGTTATAAAATTCTATCGTTTCGGAAAAAAAAAAAAACAAAAACAAAATCAACATAGCACAAAACGCGAAACATAATTAGTGTATACATCAAAATCATCTTAGTAGCTCATGCTTCGTGATTACTGCTAAACATTTAAATGTAATTATTCATTAAAATCCATTTGCCATATATGGAAGATATAGCAAGATTACATGAATAGACTCTAGGAGATATCTAGTATAAATTAATTAATGAATGGGAAAATTTATCTTGAAAGGTTTAGCAAGGATTTTATTATTTTTCATTAAATATTGAATGAATTTGGGCTAATCTATTATATGAGTTGAGTAATTGATGAGATAAGTCTCAAGACTTCATCTGGCCCAAACTGCATCCTTACAAAAGAAATATGTAAAATGAATCCAAATTTCTAAACTTTAATTCGGACGTAACCATAATTAATTTGTTTTGACAAAATACACAAGGGCCACGATCAATCCAAAATGGAATTCAAATTTATTACCTAAATTAAGTATGCACAAATCTTAAAGAAAAAAATTAATCTAATTTATGTCAGGACCAACCCAATGACTTGTAGAGCAAAAATATGGTACCAATCTAACAAGAAAAAATAGTAACAGGCACGAGTTTGAGGCAAACTACGGCTGTAAAAAAAAATGGGAAAAAAAAACTGTAGTTGTAGAAAAGAAGAAGAACGAGAAAGGGAAAAATAACAGGAAAGAGGGAGAATTTTTGGTCTGATTGTTCAGATGTGATTTAATTGGGGAAGAAACATTTTTTTTTTCAAATTGAAATTATGCCCCTCAACTAACGTTCTTCTAAAATAAATTAAATGAATTTTTTAAAAGTGCAATTAAGCTCCTAAATTAACTTCTGTTACTTAGGAAGTAAGGGTAGTACGGAAATTTCAAATTTTTCTATTAATATTGATGGTTTATGTCCATATTTCAGATAATTTGAAATTCTCTAGGTTTTTTTTTTTTTTTTGAAGCATCTAGGTATTTTTAAATGATATAGGATTGAAGAGTTCCGTGTATTTTATACCATACTTTATTCACGTACTGATAAAGCATAATCATTCTGTACCGGTGAATACCACCATTTTTAGGCCCATTAAAAAAGATATATACGGGCCGGCTTCACTTATTTGGATGTTTCTCAATCATGACATCTCTGGGCGGATCCACTAGATTGTCACTTGTTTCAACATTTACCTTTCAACGAATTAGCTGATCTCAGGGCGGGCGCGGGTCGGGTATCCGTCCCATTCATACCAGCGAGTACCCTACGGGTCAATTATTTTTTTACCCTTACCCGTCTCGCATATCAGCGAGTACCCTATAATCGGGTACCCGCTGAGATAGGGTCGGGTCAACGGGTACCCGCCCCGCCCCATTTATCATTTAATTAAAAAAATGATTTATACCAATTTAATTTTATATTTTGCACATTCATCTAAGATTTAAGAAAAAAAAAAATTTTCTAAAAAAAGGTTTCCCACCAAGAAACAAGCATGTGAAGAAAATATAAGATAAAGGAAAAAAATTAAAAGAATTCGAAATTAATAAAAGTTTGAAACAAGTAGCACAATTTTTTATATATATGTTCCACATTAATTAAACTTTTTTCTATAAAATATAAGGTCATGACCTCTACAAATGAATCTTGTAAATAAACTATAGTCTCTCATATTTGTAATGCAATTTGTTCAATAAAATTATTTATTTAGTTCTTATTATTTTATAGTGTGTGTATAAAAATAAAAATAAAATAAAATATATATATGCGGGGCGGATCGGGTACCCGCGGATTTTTAATTATGTGACCATAACCCGCCCCGCATCTTAGCGGGTACCCGACCCTTTTTTGACCCGATCAAATAATAAAAATCGGATATCCTAATTTTCGGATCGGATATGACGGGTTTTCGGGTTAGCGGATAATTTTGCCCACCCCGCCTGATCTTCTAATTTGAATCACCAATAAGTTCCTTTACCATTTCCAAGACTAATTCACTCAATTAGTCTTGAATGATCAAGTTTTTTGAAAATGCAACTCCTCCGAAATTTTCTTGTGATGCCCGAAACGTTTATACTAAACAATAAATGGTGTGAATTTTCCTATTATAAATGTGGCGAGGAGTTTTAAATTAGACTCAAACTTCCGCTACTGCAAGTGTATAACACTACACTGAGAAACATAAATTAAATAAAGAAACAAACATGAAAGTAGCTGCTAGAATCGATTTTCTCTCTAAACATGCTAGATAAATGACCTGATAATCACAAATTATCACCTTGGCTAAGCATGGCATGATTTCTAATGTACGTGAAACCTACTCTCGTAGCAAATCAATTATTCCTATAACCAGTTCATGCCTACTTTTGTGGTTTTGAAATCAACTATTTGCTCATTAATTTCTAGAAAATTACATGATAAAAAATCACAAATGTACTCTTCTACTCTCGTGAATGAACTCTCTCAATTTAGCACTTTTTTAAACTAGTGTCAAATCTCAACTCTTTTTGATGATCTAATACAATTGGATAATCATAATTAATGACCAGTTAATCATGATTTTACAAATAAAAGTGCTAAATACTTGCTCACAACCAAGTTCATTTCATCCAACAACGGAGAGATTAAATCTACCTAGATATGAAACTTTAGAACAAAATAATGAAAATTAATGAAAAGACCAAACTCTTCCAAAACAAAATCCTCACTCACCTGGTAATAGGGACCAAAAAGAG